CTCCAGTGAGGATGGTTGGCTTCTTTGTCAAAGATGAGGTGGCTGAGTATATCTGGAGTTGTTTCTGCATCTTCTAATCTATTCCACTGATCCTCGGATCTGTTTCTTTGCCCATACCATGCTGTTTTTTATCACAGTGGCTTTGTAGTATAGTTTCAAGTTGGGGATTGTGATACCCCCTGTCATGTGTCTGTTGTGTAGAATGGCTTTTGCTATTCTCTTTTGCTATTCTCTTCTGGTTCCAAATGAATTTTTGGATTGTTTTCTCTAGCTCTGTGAAATATACTATTGGAATTTCAATCAGGATTGCATTAAATCTATATAGCAGTTGCCATTTTCACTATATTGGTTCTTCCCACCCAGGAACAAGGGATGTCTTTCCATATTCTTACATCCTCTTCGATCTGTTTTTTCAGAGTGCTATAGTTTTCAGAGTAGAGGTCTTTTGCTTCCTTTGTTAGATTGATTTCTAGATATTTCATTTTTTTTGGATGCTATTGTGAAAGGAATTATTTGTCCAATTTCTCTCTCAGTGGGTCTGTTATTTGTGTACAGGAAGGCTATAGATTTTTGAGTGTTGACCTTGTATCCAGCTACTCTACTGAATCTGTCAATTAAATCTAGAAGTCTTTTGGCGGAGTTTTTTGGGTCTTCTATGTAGAGTATCATATCGTCAGCAAATAATAACAGTTTAACTTCTTTTTTTTTCCTATCTTTATTCCTTTTATTTCTTTCTCTTTTCTAATTGCTGTGGCTAATGTTTCCAGAACTATATTGAACAGGAGTGGTGATACTAGACATCCTTGTCTTGTTCTCGATTTTAGCATGAAAGTTTTCAGATTTTGACCATTTAGTATGATGTTGGCTGTTGGTTTTTCATAGATAGCCGTAATCAGGTTAAGATAAAGACCTTCTATTCCAAATTTCTGTAGCGTTTTTATCATGAATGGGTGTTGGATTTTGTCAAATGCCTTTTCTGCGTCTATTGAGATGGTCGTATGTTTTTTGTCCTTGGCTTTGTTAATATGGTGTATTACATTTATTGTTTTACGTATGTTGAACCATCCTTGCATCCCTGGAATAAATCTGACTTTGTCAGGATGTATGATCTTCTTGATGACCCTCTGTATTCTGTTTGCTAGTATCTTGTTGAGGATTTTTGCATCTCTGTTCATTAGGAAGATTGGCCTGTAGTTCTCTTTTTTTGTTGGGTCTTTCCCTGGTTTCGGAATCAAAGTAACACTTGCTTCCAGGAATGAATTTGGGAATGTTGCATCCCTTTCAGTTTCATTGAAGAATTTGAAGAATAGTCGCAATAATTCTTCTCTAAATGTCTTGTAGAATTCATCA